GGGGGGGGGGGGTGGTGGTACTGGATTTTGCTATCATGGTCCACTTCTCAAAATCCAGAGGTAAGTTTGACAAAGTAAGGCTGTCTTCTATCCACAGTAAGCATGAGAAGAAAGGGTTTTTGTTTTTTTGGTGTGTGTGGGGGGGGGTATACCAGAGAAGTGACTACTCCTTGATCTGTAACATGAATTAAGAAGCCAAATGGCCCCTCTGCTGTTTGTACTGTATTACTGCGATCTTATTTTCCACAGAATGTACTGACTTCAGCTGTGAAATGTACAATCACCACCAGAGTTTGTGGTGCCCCAAAATTGTAAAGCCCTGAAGCAGTTCACTGAGAGTTAACCTCTCTCTGTACCCTGTGTCTTTCATTTGAAGTTCAAACTGATTGGATTCTTTCCATCAAAGGCAAGTTAAATGTAAAACTGTCATGATTCGAGTCATGAATTGTATATACCTATCTTTGTATGTATACCAATAAATCCTGTGCTCTAATAAAAACAATACTCTGAACTGAAATGGGTAAAATTAAAACATTTGTATTAATCTACAAATAAAAAACAATCATCACTCAAATATATTAATGTTTATTACATTTAAATGAAAAATATGCAAATTAGGAGTCACTATTAAATATCATAGTGTATATACGTACACCAGTATCTAGTTGTATGAAACACCTTTTACCAGGGAAGAGCAGCAGGACATACTGTAGGTATGCTTGTTGTATTTTTATATGCCTATATTTATTCATATCAGATTCAGGAGTTGCCCCGCAGCCCCAATAAGATCTTGTAATAATATCTGATTGAGTAGTCAGTGTGTCTGTGAGAGGTGTGCTAAATTTATATATTACAGACAAGAGGGGGAAAAAAACTAGCCTGGGCAGTTCAGTACGTGCCCCTCTGGATAATCTAATTATTGGTGACTAAAGTGAAGTACAGTATGCTGTGATCACAGAGATGAACATGCATTAGTCCACTTACTGTTTGTTTGTCATGTGTGTCAATTTTTTTTTACATATATAAGTACAATTAAAGCTTCCTCAATGTCAGTAAAATGTAGCCATTTTGACACATTGTACTCACATTAAGGAGAAAGGGGGAAACACATGCAGTGTGCAGACAGCAGCTGAGACTTTATTCAAATGTACTTTTGCATTTTCCATCCTATCAGAGTGCACCTCAAATATGTAAAAAAAAATAAAAATAAAGACTAATTAACAGTCTTCCTTTCTATAAAAACACCAAAAGTATATCTCAGATGCAGCAGTATTTGAATTCACTGACTTGAGGATTGTAGTGACAGTTTTCTGTGTCTGTCTGTATTACTGCAGCCTTCAAATTAGCTGAATGAAAATAGATAAGCTATGTTATGATGTGAATGTTATTTTCATTTGTCAGTCACTGTTTGTTTTTACATAAGTGCCATGTCATGCAGTTTGCTGAAACAGTGGTTCAGAAGAGAAAACAATTTGAAACACGAGTAACGTTCCATTTGACTTGACGTTCGTCTCGACAGTGAGCCTGTCACTGCAATACACCTTTTTATCATTGAAATAGGAGCTATAGTATTTTCATGTGGCTATAATTGTTCTGATTCATCACTCATGGCAGATATTTAGCCCGCATCACCATGTGCGTTTTTAAGTGTTTGCTTCCCATCACTTTTATGAAACACACAGGGGATTTTTTTTCCACTATGTTATAACAGTAACAGTCGAAATTAAATAGGCAGCATAACCGTGACTGAAGAAAAAAAAATATTGTGCAAACTTTGTTTCCTTCATTGATGGTCTTACAAGTGTGTATGTCTTTGTTACTTTACATTACAACTTGCTGCTATGACATTAAATAAACCTCCAAACCTGCTGATGCAAACTTGACGTGGAATTGATGTGGACACACACACACACACACACACACACATACACACACACCCCTTACAGTGTGTTCCTTACATTTGAACTACAAGCTGTTCTGGTCTCAATCGCACATTCTTGAAACTAACAGTCGACTCTTACTGCAGCTCTCTCAGTGTCTGTGAATTTGAGGGTGAAGACTCCAGCTGAAAAGACACATTCTCATCCTGAGGTAGCAGCAGTAGCATAGATTAGCACTGACTGTACGTGACCAGCTCCATATGCTAAAGCCCTGGTGCTTCCAACCTCATGGAACACATTTTGGAGGTCACATGTAAGACATATTAGGTGCATACAGTGAAGTATGTGTGACACTAATGTGTAAACAGACTCAAATGATGAAACATCTTTTTTTTATTAACATCAGAGTCTGTGTTCAGTGCTAGTGCCCCCTGGTGTTAGAGCTGAGCTAGCCTCCATACTGACACTACTGCAGGACTGAATCATTGGTTGGGAATCAACTGAAGGGCTGGTGTTTTCCTAATGGTGTCCATATCAAAGGGTTATCTATATGCTTCAGATCCATCCCTGCCTGCTTCTGTACATACAGTAACTGGTACAACACAGACATTTTGATGCTGTATTTATGGCTTTCTTATAGCAACCAATGAAAAATGCTGAATATCATCCCGAGCTACGTACGTGCACTTTTAAAATAAAATGTGAGTGGACATGTGAATAATTTATGTGAGTAAAAATAAAGGTTCATGCAACTTTTGTTTTGCACTAAAGTAAAGCCCCCTGCACAGTGTGAGACAGTGGTGGTGATGCAGGGTCTATTCTATAATAAAACACAAAAAAACATACATACATGTATACAGTATTGCACAATTCTGCACAACTTGATGTATGTTTTAAGAATGTACATTTTAATTATGATTTGTTTATTGAATTGAATAACATCTGCCAATATCTGTCTGTGGAAATATAAAACATGGTTTTGTCTCATAAAATCTCTTCATCCCTTGATTTTGCCATTGTCTTTTGTCCTCACTCTAGCATGGCCAATAACAGGCACCTTATATGGTTGCAGTGAAAGTTAATCTGTGTGAAATGTCTTTTGCAAACTGCAGGGAATCTTAAGATGTTGTAATTTAATTGTCTGATCGATCACACACTGCTAAACTGTTTTTGGCCTAGATAAATATATCTTACCACTGTGTTCTGGCATGTTCAGTAATACTGTATACAGCATTACCCAAAGGACATGGTCATGTCATGAAATAATTAGAAAAAGAAAAGTAGTATTACATGCAAACTAGAGTTTAGTGAGTATGAGGATAATGTACTTTTGTGTTAATATATATACTTGTAAATATAGCAACTTTTACTACAAATAACTTTAATAGTTGTCTTACTCTTTGCTCTGTAGCTCAATTCTAAGGTTGTTCTGTTAATAGTTTTCTAATAAATATAGCAACTCCTGGAAAACCCATATCAATTTCAAGCTGACTTCCACACACCAGCCATGTTTAAACCCTGTCCGTTCTGAGTAGGGTTAAAATACAGATAATTTAGTTGGTTGAACAGATACAGATAATGATGTACTCGCTCATTTCTACAGCTCTCCTAAATCCTAAAGGAGATATGGTTGGTTCCCAACATTTTCACATCAGTGTTAATGAAATGTTGCATTACTTTGACCAGCCAATAGAACAGACGCCTAAAGACTGCAAATCTAGATTCTGTAATCTGGGTTAGAGGGATCCTATCTGAAAATTCTTTGAAAAACCAAGACAAAACCGACAATATTTGTTTTATCTGGGATAGCAAAAAGAGGGATTACAAAATCTGGATAATTCTGATCTAGATTAAAGGTTGTGAAATACTGGGCCCAGGTGAGACAGCAGGTCCTGGTTTCTTCACGGGGATGATACCCAGAAGTCTTTTTTACAGAGGGCAGCACTGGATAAGAATGTGGAAGAATGATGGCAGATCATGTAGGATCTGTAAGCAGGCCAAGCATGACATAGCTGAGGTTAGTGGTTTGTTTCAGAGGCCTCTTTATTCCTGGAAATAAACAATTAACCCTATCGTCCATTTTCTATTTCTGTATATATTTTTCTTATCTATAATACACACAAAAAAAACACATTAAATATGACTTTCTTCTATTAAAAGTGCTTTTTAGTTGACGAGACATCTTGTATCCAGCAACAAGTTTTAAAATGAAGAATTATCTGCATATGCATAGATTCTGGATTTGTAAATGAGGGAGGACGAGTAAGATAATTGTATAACTTTTCTGTGGGGAAACCATGATAAACATGAAGTAGTAGTATTTTCTGTCTGAAGTTGTCCAATTGGTTTTATTAGGTTAATCAGCTCCCATCCTCACTGATTCTTTTATGGACATGGACTCTATGGAGCTGAGGGCGTCACGTGACCTGTCCAACAGCTTGTATCTAGGGGCGTGGCTCTGCGCACACACACTACGCAGCTACGGAAGCTTTGGCGTTTACCCAGATAACAAGCTAGCTTGCTGAAAATGGCCAGCTGGGGAAGGCTCGCTGCGGTGCTGAGGAATGTTTGGAGGAGCCCTCGGTCTCTGAAGGGTTTATCCCTGCGCCGTGCTGTCGGCCCGGGGCTTTTTGGGTGTCTAGTGGGAACTGGTGTTGTCGGTTATTACCAGTACTGTGCAAACAACAGGACTCTGCCCTTCGCCGTTCATGCTGAGGAGCAAAAAGTGAGTAAACGCCTAGCTAATAAAAGTTTGTGTCGTCGAAACTGAACACGAAACAGTCAGTCAGACAAACACTGTAGCCTTCATACGTCTGTATGTTTAAATATTAAGTTATATGTTCCTTAATACAAGTGACACTATTAATATTTACAGAAAGGGCATAAATAATGAGTTGGTATGAGCAGCTGCCGCCCCCCAGCTGCCACTCAGTGACAGCACACTATGCTGTTAGTGAGTGTTCACATGGTTCACTAGTTCACCCATAGTTCTGTCCCCTGTGCTGTTTCAGGAGGCCGCAGCTCCACAGCTGTCTGCCAGGAAGGTTCGTTTCATCCAGTTCGCCTCAGTGGTTTACGAACAGGAGCCCTACATGACCCCCAGAGACTTCCTCTTCTCTGTCATGCTGGAGAACGTTGACCGTAAGCTGCACTGATGCTCGTTTCTACTGACAGCATGCAGTCTTTTGAGCCCATTTACCATCTCCGGTACAGGTGGAAGACTGACACACTAAGGAACAAATGAGCGGACAAATAAAGAATTTTAGGATGCACGATATGGATGGTTTTTTTCTTTTTTTTTTTTTGTACAGCCGATACAATAAACGATAATTACCTGCTTCTCGTGGCTGATACCTAGGATAACTGACTAACTAATAAAGTCCATCAAAAAGACTATCAACCGATAAGTTATTGACTGTAATGTAATTATTGAATTAATTATATCACTTTCCCATTATAAGATGGTAATATATCTGTCCCGATAATTATCTGACTTCCCTCACCACAACATTTGTACTTAAAGGTCCAGTGTGTAACATTCAGGAGGATTTATGGTCATAAATGGAATATAATATCCATAGGTGTGTTTTCATTAGTGTATAATCACTAACAGTGAACCACCGACAGTTGAGTGTTCTTTATATGCTGATCGTGGTACATAGCTCATGCATGAACCCTCTGTAGTTCCAAAAAACACTTTAAATTTACTTCAGCTATGCTGCATATCATTATCATCCAGTCAATTGCAGAGGATGAAACCCTGCAGACATCAGATGTGTAAAATAAAGATGCATGAAAATCTCGTTTGATGTTGTCTTAATAACAAATAACTTTTGTTTCTTCTCACGTAGGAAAACTGCAGAAGAAAGCTTTAACGACACAGGTATGTTTACATCACTACAGAGTGTAGTACTTACATTTGTTTTTAACTGCACATTTGTCATCATGTCATCAGTTTGGCTGTTCTCTGTTTCCTATTGTAGGAAGTTAACAAAATGTTGGCGTCTGCCCCTAAAGCTCGGGCTGGTAACGACCTGTTCAGAACACTAGGAGACAATGGTGAGTCTTCAGTTAACACGCAGGACCTTCAGATCTAATATCCTGTGTCCAGATCTGCTCAGACTGTACCAAGACTGAAAAATCTTGACATCAGAATGGGTTTGAGTGACTCTGGGATGCTTTCCCGTTCCCATTTAATTGTATCTGAGTTACACTAACAGGAAAAACTCATGCAGGTTGATTTCAAAGTCAGTTGGTTATTGGGTATCAGTGTACATTTCTTTGTGTCTTTCAGGTTTGATATCCTACACAGAGTATCTGTTCCTGCTGACTATCCTGACCAGTAAGTAGATTCTCAAACCTTGCATCAGCTGCTGGGCCTTACCAGGTCTTCCCCCACTCTCAGTAAAAGTGTGATGAATGGATTTGCCTGTGATTTTGTGATTTAAGCGGTTGCATTTTCTTCAGTAGAATGCAGCTGGTTCTGTCTGAGCTTTGCACACCTGCACTTTTCAGTGGAGCTGAAATGAATCAGCAGCCGTTGACCTGATTTGTGTTTTATCTCTCCACGCTGTTTTCCAGGCTGTGTTGAGAACTGCCCTACTAACCAAGAGCATTGATTCATGTGCATTACTATTGCAGAGCCCCGTATAGGATTTCATATAGCTTTCAAAATGCTTGATGTTGACGGCAATGAGCATGTGGACAAAAAGGAATTTCTCAAGGTAAGACCTCTGATGTGTCGGGATATTTTCTGTAATGCTGTAGTAATATTTAGAGCCCGATTGATATGGGATTTTTCAGACTGACCGATATGGCCGATAAAGTAAATTTT